CCAAAAAAAAAAAAAAAAAAAAAAAAAAAAAAAAAATTAATAAAAAACTGGTCAAAGGACCAGAATAGACATTTCTCAAAAGAAAACATAAATGGCCAACAGGTATATTTTTAAAATGCTCAACATCACCAGTCATAAGGGAAAGGCAAATCAAAACCACATTGAGATATTATCTCACCTTATTTAGAATTACTATTAAAAAAATCACAAATACTGGTGAGGAGGCAGAGAGAAGAAAGCTCATACACTGTTGGTGGGAGTGTAAATTAGTACAGCCATTATGAAAAACATTATGGAGGTTACTGAAAAAATTAAAAATATAACTATTAGATTATCCCATAATCCCACTGCTGGGGATTTACCCAACGGGAAAAAAAATAGTATACAAAAAATAATCTGCATCTCCATGTTTATCACAGCACTATTCACAAAAGCCAAGATATAGAATCAGCCTAGGTGTCCATCAACAGATGAATGGAAAGAAAATATCACATATACACAATAGAATACTACTCCACCATGAGAAATAATAAAATCCTGTCATTTGTGGAAATGTGGATGAGCCTGAAGACATAATGATAAGTGAAATATGTCAGGCACACAAAGATAAATACCACGTGTTCTTACTCATGTGGCAGCTAAAAAAAGATAAGTCGAACTTTTAGAAGTGGAGAGTAGAATCATGGTTACTAGATAAGCTGGAAAGGAGAGGGGGGAATACGGAGAGGTTGGTTAATGAACACAAAATTACAGCTAGATGAAAAAATAAGTTCGAGTGGTGTAGAGTAAGTAGTCCTAGGTGTCTGTAATTAGCAATCATTTATTGTATGTTCTCAAATGGCTAAAAGAGAGGAGCTCAAATGTTCCCATCACAAAGAAATGATAAAGTTTTGGGATAACGAATATGCTAATTACCCTGTCTTAATTATCACGAATTATATACACGTATTGAGATATAACTCTGTACCTTATAAATATGTGCAATCAATATGTGTCTATTAAAAATAAACTACTTTTTAAAAAAATTTAAAAAGTCTTCATTTCCTGAGAAAAAATGATTTTGCACTTAAAATTCAAGGCTGTCGTAGAATCTAATGTGTCTATTTCAGGGGACTTCTTCACCTTTTGAAGCCCCAGTTATAACAATTGACAGACTGCATCAGAATTCACACATTTATATTAAATGAAATAGAAG